TTTCTGAGACTAGAGAGAGGGTCTCCCCTCTGCGGAGGTCTTCATTGCTTTTATTATCTTCAAGTAGTTTTACTCAAAGGGTAGGAATAGAATTGGGGGAGGATAAATAAACTGCAAATACGTGTTCTCACTGTCTTTGTACACTGAGGTTAGGCATAGTCACATGGAGAAGGTTTAATTCCCAGAACAATTTTAAAAAGCCTTTTTTTGTTAGTCTGAAAAATAGATGAAGGCTTAATTTAGAGTTATATTGGAGAGCATTAGAGAAGGAAATTTAGAAGCAATAAACATGTTAGATTTTCTCGCGTAGCTTAGACAGATAACATCAGACCAAACGGTTCCCTGGGTGGGGGGGTGTTATTTAGGACAGAGGGAAGAGAGCAAGAGGAGAGAGAGCGAGCAGAGAGAGAGGGAGGTAGAGGAGTAGAGGCCAGCCATGACCACATGGAGAGAGGGGGAAGGGAAGGGGGAGGGGGCAGAGGAGAACCTGCAGGCAAGAGAGTAAGGGAGTAAGAGAGTGAGGAGGGGCCAAGCAGCCCCTTTTATAGTGGGCAGGCCTACCTGGCTGTTGCCAGTAACTGTGGAGGTGGAGTTTAGACAGAATACTAACATTCCCACATTTTGGTTTAAATAAAAAGGAAAATTAAAACAGGTGACGGTGAAGCAGGAATAGGGTCATCATGAAATCTGGCTACTTTCTGCTGACATTGGGGCGACATGTATTTAGGGGGAACTTAGAAGAATGGGTATGGGGGATGTTTGCCTGATCTTAGGAGAGTTGGCTGTTTTCTGCTGTCCAGGGAGCCATCTGAGGATAGACCAGAAGGAACAGGTCCAGTTGAAGCAGCTGTGTGTGTGAGACAGCAGATGGAGCATCTGGAGGTTGCTTCTTTGGAGTTGTTCTGGATGTGCCTGGACTTGACAAGATGTAGGGAATAAGATTAAGTACACTTGGGAGAAAGAAAATTTTTTTAAGATGTACATTTGAAACCCAGAGGGATCCCACCCTCTATAATAGGTAGAAAGTGGGAGCTTTAGGCAGATGTACTTATCTGGATGGCGTTTATTTGGTCCATGGGAGGTAGATCTGAGTGGATTTCCTGTAGCTTATAAGTTTACAAAAGAGATAACAGCATGAGTTAACATGATCAGTCTTTAAGATGAGCCTTTGCTGGATCGTATACTGGAATGTTTATTAGAGTTAGGCAAGTTTACAGGAACTCAGATAATTTAGGACAGTGGGATAGTGAGAAGAGGAATGTGAAGCATTTAATTGATGGCAGCTGAGTTTAGGTAATGAGGTAACAGATAATATCTGTGAAAGCTTAGCTGTCAATGTAGTCAGAAGTCTGAGAAAGAGTAAACAATTATCTACCAGTTATATATTATTATATAAAAAATGACAGAGTCCACTAGCCAACAGTTCCCGTGGTCTCCATAGTCTCTTGGGCGAAGTCAGTTTGGCTTCCAAGCGCAGAAGACGAAGGGCTTTTTCTCTGTGGAATGGATACACATGATATGAGAAATGACTTACCTTGATTTAGCCAAGTCATTTGACTCAGAGCATCTAATTTAGTCCACTGTGTTTGTTCACATACAATCCAGGCTGTATCTTCTAGGAGTTCGGTGTTCAAGTCTTCTGAAACCATCTTGGGTTAACTGTTAGAGGCTTTGGGAATTCTGTTGGCCATAAACTTAAAAAATACTATTAGCAGACTTCTGACAAGATTGAGAGCCATAAGGATTGGTTGTAACTGAATAGAATTTAATAGCAGTAGTAAAAAATCTATCAAGACAGAGTCTTTCCTATCCTGTCTTAAGTAACTTTGGCGGGTTGTGTAGGTAGAGAAAAGCACATTTTTGTATTACCAAAGAAACATTTATCTAGGACCAGAATAAGAAAGGTAGCAACAGTGGCATATGGTATGGCTGGTAGGTTGGAGCTGTGAGCCACAGGTGCCGCGGGTGGCGACAAGGCAGGACTTCCTACTAGTGGCCAGAAGTTGCTGCCCAGTGGCTCTGGCGGCTAGTTTTACAGTGGTCAAGGAAAAGCAAGCCTGTCTCATATCACAGCAATGCTCACGTTAGTTGTTTTTGTAGAGGAAGGCACCGCTAGCACTCACTTTACAGGTCTCGGGTAGAGAG